TTTGAGTTAATGGCCAAAAATTGAGAAATTCAAGTGCTAGGCTTTTTTTACTTTTGACTTAGCAATTTTATTTATTTAAAACATGATAAAACTAGGTCAAAACTTTCACTAATTTTATTTTACTCATAGTAAAATTTCTTTACTCATTAAAATCTATTTGAAATACTTTAATTTATACAACAGCATCCACGTCCTATTTTAGTTAGTCTTTGTTCTGCTACGCAATTTTAGCGATTTCTTATTATTTAGCAGTTTAGGATGATTCTAAAGCTATCACATCAATTTGACAGAATGATTTTAACTACGCATTATCAGAAATCGATTAACTTTTTCCAAGCAGAAAATTTGAGGATATTACAATATTTGATTATTTTAAACTACATGTTGTAGTCTTTTTCCATGAATATTTGTGATGTAGAATGTCCGCATGCATGCCTACGATATAGTCCCTCCATCAAAGAATTGCTAGCTAGTTCGAAATTTCTTTTTTTTTTTTTTAAGTATAGAGTGTGTTAAAAAATAAAATCCCAACATATCAGTCATTTGGGGATGGCATGACCATTCTATAGTTTGCTTTCATTCTGAAAACAAATAAAATTTTTCGAGATCACGATTTAACTGAAACAGGTGATTTGAGTTTTTTTTTCTCGTTCAATAATATATCACTGTTGAAGGCTAATTTCCTTAATTATTACATAATGAACAACCTAGGAGTTCAATAATATATGGTTCGGTAAAAAATCTTTTCATGTGTCACGGGTGAAAATTGATTCTTTTTCTTGGGCTGGGTTCACTGTCTTCGTTTGACTTACCATTATCCCTGGATTCAACATGGAGGGTTAGTTTCATTGTTGTTCAAAATCAATCCTCTGGGTCACGGAGGATTCGTCACTCAAAAAAAAAAAAAAAAAGAGCAAAAAAGATTGTGCAATTGAAATTGAGCTTCTCTGGGGCTCCTTTTTGCAGGATCTTTTGATGGGGATGACGATGACAATGGTGTTGGTGATAGAGATGATGGTTCCGATAACAATGAGGGTGATGATGATGACGGTGATAATAATTAATGCCAAAGCAGGTAGCTAATTTTGACTGAATAATAACAGGGGTTTTGAAGTGTATATCTTTATTTATGTTCTTTGAAGGTCGGAGGGCTCAATGATTTATTCTGAGTTAATTTGGAATTCACCTCCGTGATCAATTTTTTTTGCTAGTTTATCATTTTTATTTACTCATTGATCTACTCAAAAGTTATTGTTCCAGTTTGAAATTTCACTTTTAGTACAATCTGAAGTAAAAATAAAAATCCAAACTATACAATCAATTGGGAATTTGGAACACAATACATATGAATATAGCATTGATTTTGTGTTGACAAGGCGGATGAGTCCCGATTATTTACACAGTGGTAATTTGTCATCTTATTTACAGGTCGTATGTGGTGCCACTGAAGAATGGTATAGTTAGAGATATCATACTTGACGTGTGTGAAGTGTGAACTGTGAAGAGACGAGTAGTACGACTAAATATCTTCACATTATTGCATGAAAGAGGAGCCCAATGCGATTGATTATGCGAAACCTTTCCAGAGAAATTAGTCGGAACTCTTCCAACAGTTTGATTTCCATGTAACTTTGTCTTTTGTGTTTTGGAATTGTAAGATCTATTCATGTTTAGCTTCTGTCAAACGTGTGAAATATATATAATAAACCTTATTGCAATATGATGTGGAAATATTTCTCAAAATTTAGGGATATAAAAGCTCTAAGTATGGTACTGGAGCGTATTTATCATTATGAAGCTCTAAGCTCAAAGTACTTATCTCCGATTCAGTGATTGTACACATTTATATCCAAAAATCAATAGGTCTCTCATTGTTTCTCCAAATGAAGTAGTAGTTAAAAGTTCTTGACTTTGAAAGCAATGGGTAATAGCCAAGTGAATTGTTAATTTGTTATCTCCATAACTCCTAATACTTGTACCTTTCCAAAAAAACTCCTAATCCTTGTAAAAGTAGGATTAAATTGCCCCTTTCGTTTCTGCTTCTTATATCTTTTTATTTTTTGATTGGACTAAAATGTCCAAATGGTCCCTTACATTTGGGCATACTCGAATTTGCGTCCCTAATATTAACATTTCAATACCGTAGTCCCAAACATCATGTTTTCGCACTTTTTTTTGTCCCATTTCACTGTTTCCGGCCGTTGACATGCCGGAATCAGGGGTATTTTTGTCTTTTAATTTAATTTGAATTTTTATTAAAATTTAAATTATTAAAAATATTTTATAATTAAAATTTCATTATTTAATTGTTAAAATATTATTTATTAATTAAAAATATTATTATACAATTTTAAAATTTATCATTATTTTCAAAATTACTTTTTTTATTTATTATTTACTTTAAATACACAGTAAATGGTAATTATGTTGCATTTTTAACTTTGAGCCCACTGTAACTTACAAAATTTATCAAGTTACAGTAAAATAATTCAAAATTCAATTTTATTTTTTTTAAAAAAAAGCAAACTAATTTTTTTTTACTCTGACCGCTACAGTAAACCCTAAATAGTAATTATTGTGCACTTTTAACCTTAGACCCACTGTAACTTAAAAAATTTACCGAATTACAGTAAATAATTCAAAATTTGATTTAAAAAAAAAAAAAAGCAAAAGTAAGATTTTTTTTTTACTTTGACCGCTACAGTAAATCCTAAATGGTCAAATAAAAAAAAATCTTGGTTTTGCTTTATCTTTTTTTTAAAAAAAATAAATTTTGAATTATTTACTGTAACTTGGTAAATCTTTTAAGTTATAGTGGGTCCAAGGTTAAAAGTGCAACATAATTACCATTTAGGGCTTACTTTAGCGGCAGAGAAAAAAAGTAGTTTTTCTTTTTCTTTTTTTTAAAAGAAATTGAATTTTTAATTATTTACTGTAATTCAGTAAATTTTTTAAATTACAGTGGGCCCAAGGTTAAAAGTATAACATAATTACTATTTACTTTGATCTAAGGTAAATAATAAATTAAAAATTAATTTTTAAAATAATGTAAATTTTAAAATTTGATAATAATATTTTTAATTAATAAATAATATTTGAACAATTAAATAATGAAATCAGAATTTTAAAATATTTTTAATGATTTAAATTTTAATAGAAATTGAAATTAAATTAAAAGATGAAAATACCCCTGATTCCGGTATGTCAACGGCTGGAAACAGTGAAATGAGACAAAAAAGTTTGAAAACATAATGTTTGGGACTATGATATTGAAATGTTAATGTTAGGAACGTAAATTCAAGTAGGTCCAAATGTAAGGAACCATTTGGATATTTTAGTGTTTTTGATTTATTGTTGTTATTGTTATTATTATTATTTACCTTAACCAAATCCACGTTAGAACAAGAAGAAAACCATTTATCATTAGGTTGCGGAGTCCATCGTACTATAAATATAGATACACAGTTTGGTTTCTCTATTCACTTCCCCTAAGCAACAAGCGATTTAATTCCTCGCAGCTAGCTATATAGCTTCTCTTCTTCTCTAGCTACTTTTTTGTTCTTTCAGAAATTCAGTTCATCTTCTTCTCGCAAACCTTAAACTTCTACAAAATCTTCTTCGTTCATCATCATGAGTACCACTATAAACATAGATCCCTCAGCCGTTAATGATTTGCCACCACCCAAAGACGTCGCCGACGGCAGTACCGCAACTGGGCGCAGAAGACCTCGAGTTCCTTACATCATCCTAAAGAGTTGTGTATGCATCATAGCTCTTGTCCTGCTTGTGTCTGTTATCGGCGGTGGAATTTACTGGTATAGAACCTTCGAATTTCAGCCTAGCGTCCGAATAATGTCCATGTCGGTGTCGCATATATATGTAGATTCCAAGAGGATCACGGCCAACTGGACGGTCGGATTAGAGGTCGAGAATCCCAACAGGAGGAGGTCCATTAGTTACACGGATGGCGGCGAGGTGTCGGTATCTTACTTCGGGTACAACAGCCTCGGCGAGACGGGAATCGCGCCTTTCTTCCAAAGCCCGAAGAACAGCACAACACTGGTCGTAGAACCAAAGGCTCTTTTCCGTAACATCAGCGAATCGAAGGCTGGAGTCGCGATTTGGGAAGATTTGCAGGACGGCGTCATCTCTTTCGACGTGAATATTAGGTTAGAGTACCAGTATGGGAATGGTGGAAAGCATAAGGAAAATTATCTTTGCGGAGATATGGAGTTGTTTTATGCTCCTTATGATTCAACGGGTTTTGGAAGAATGCGGGAAAGATCTAAGTCATGTCAACATTACACCCATAACTGATGATTCGCAATTATTCATCATCAATCCCCTTGGAGGCGAGCTGTGGAGTAGATTTCTTATTTGATGTTTAGGAGTTGAAATTAGTTTTATGTATGTTTCGGCGAGTTTTGGTACACTATTATTTGTAGTTACTAGTAACACATTTTTTTTTTCAGAAAGAATTTATTTATGTCATCCTCAGCTCTTGAATATTGTTTTATATCTTTTCTTTTCCCTACTCGTGAAATCTGATCTCCAAAAAAATGAACATAAAATAAAAACCCTGATCTTTGGCCCTCAAAAAAAGAGTTTTGCAATAGCATTTCGTGGAGAGTCAGTCTGTTTTGGACCTTTGGGTTGCAAAAACAATGTTTTCTTGACAATGAACAGTTGATATTTAGAAAATTGGCAAGTATTATTATACTTTATGAGCAATTATAGTTAGCTAACTGAGGATATCCTTTTGAATATGCATCGGTACATAAACTAATGCAAAATGACTTGAATTAATGTTGATTCAATGAACCAAAAAATTTGCCTCAGAGCTGAAACAAAACCAAACAGAACTCCTACAAGCTAGAGAAATCAAACAAAACTGAAATAAATTAAAACAAACAAAACTCCTTCCCAACTAGAAAGATAAAACTTTGCATAAAAGAATTCCTATCAACTAGGGTGTCTCTTCGTATGGATGATTTCTACAATCACTTCCAAGCAGATGCTACAATCAAAGGTGTCTTCTTCCATCCTAAGTACAGTGCACCATCTTTGTTTCTCAGAAAGTAATGCTCTGAATAGATTTTCAACAAATCTTTTATCGCTGAGTTCACAGGACGGCTCAAAGTACATTGTCGAAATCCAGCCTTTGTGAACCTAGCTTTCCACATGTTGAAGAGCTCGTGGCGTTCGGTTCTCTCTTGTTCTTCCCGAGCTATGATATTGATTATGTCTTTTCCCAGACAATGCTGTTCTAGATGGACTCTCCGCTCATTGGATCTATCCGTCATTATGGCATCTATGGACTCGAAAATGGCCAGATAGTAGTCCAGCGTTGCCGAGAACCTGTGGAGGAAGTCAGTGGTATTCGTGTCCAATTCTTGCTCCACCAGGGTGACCACATTGGGATTGAATGACTTCACCATCCTGAGGAGGCTATCTCTTTGGTTTCTCGTGTCAACAACACTTTCGTCATGGATGTGATGGAGCTGCAAGGTGAAGTTCACTACAAGAACCTCTCCGGGACTTATTCTCAGCATCTCCTCTGTGACATCAGCCGCGAAAACTGGCACTTCATTGAACTCAAATTGGATACCCAATTTCTCACAACAAGCTCCAAGTCTTGCGCATATCGCCTCCAATCCCACTCCTCCTCGGGCGTGTCTAGAATCCAGGTCATCGATTCCAGTAATGCGCACCTGAAGAAGCCTGTCAGGCCTTGTGGCAGCGAGCGCTTGTAGCAACAAAACCCACTGTGTTCCCTGAGCAATCTGGAAATCGACAATGTGGATTCGATCTGCATTCCCGCAAGCTTTTGCAATGGCGCCATTTGCAGCCATATACCCGAATTTTATGTAGGGACACATGTGGTACAGAGTCAGCATAGACTTAGCTAAGTCGTCGCTTTCTGGCTCCTTGTCGCACTTCAGGTTGCTATAAATATGTGTGCCAGATTTTAGATTCCTGGAATTTAAGCCTTCAAACATGTAAGCACCTAAACGGTCCATTGGATCGCCTAGTATGTTAACTTCCCGACCTGCTCTGGTTTTAGCCAATTCGATGAATTCTTCTGCTTGATTAGTTTCAAGCGATTCAGCATATTCCGCGAGCAACTCTTTCAAAGACGGATTTGCAGCTTCCCCAAGTGGGTTGCGACTGTTTCCGGGTAATAATTCATATTGAATTGGCTGATCAGTCAAGAAGTTGGGGGTTCCCAGGTACCCCAATTCCATGAATCGCTGATGCGATAAATGTATTTCCAGGCCCATGTTTTCCATGATAGCCGCCACTTGCTGCTCAGTTAAGTATTGCATATTCTGATCATGGCTTGGACCCTGGAAATTTGCAGATCCACCACCAGGAGATGCGAAAACCATCGGTTCAGGAACAAATTGCTGATAAGGGCTCGCGGTTCCATGATCGAAACCATTGCGAATCGAAGAAGGATCAAAACTCGAATTCCCGAGTTGATGATTCAAGGCGAAACAATGATTCGCGCCCTGATGATGGCCCGAAGGGAAAACAGTGTTTCCCTGATTTGGGTATTGCTGCTGATTGAAGCTATTGCAATAATTCGGAGTAGGATTAACCAAATTGATGTTTCCAAGCTCTTCACAGGCGGATACAATCTCAGGATATAAATTGCCTTGAGAATCAAAAACTTCCGCGTCCAAATCTGCTGCATCGTATTCGGCGAACCCGTTGACAGCCGGGTTCGGTACGGAAGGATTAATACCGGCAAAAGCAGACTCCTGGTTACTTATGCGTGAGCCATCAGGCATGGGTGTGGAACTTTGCTCCAGAGGATCGTCCACTAAAAGTTCTGAAACCGAAATCCCGGAATCGGAAGGTGAATTTGGTGGATTTGTTGCATCAAAAGTTTCCGGTCGCTGTTGCGGGGCTGCAACACCAGGTAAACTGCTGAATTCATGAAAGTTTTGGGAATCCATAGCTTTTATTAATTTATTTATTTATTATTTATTATGGGTCTGGAAAAAGAAAACAAAGAAGAAGAAAAGTCTCTTGAGGAAGAAAAAGAAGAAGAAGATAATGATTTTGATGATGGAGTGATCTCTGAGTCTCTGCTCTGTTCCTCTTATAGGGTTTGGGTTGGTGCATGAAAAGAAGCGAATCCTCCATTACCATAAATAAGGAGGTTCCAAAGGAGGGTACAGGAATCTGATAATAAGGGAAACTCGACGTTTGATTAAGGAAATTTTTTTCTAGTGATATTGCCAGCATAATAATTAGTCGTCAGAGTAAATTATACATATTTTTCCAACACTACTCTTAATAGGTCAAACTGTAACTTTCCTCCGTGGTCTTCTTTACACTGCAATCCCCAACCAAAACCGTTGTGTTGGTCGATTAGCATTTAGCAATCCTCACCGAACAGACTATAATCAACTAATTATCCTCTTCCTAACATTTATTTTTATTGGCGACTATCACATAGCATTATATACAAATTTTTATCCCAATTTTAAAAGTAGAAACCAAAATCTTCTCGTCCGAGTTCCAATCTTCAATTGCAATATAAAATCTAAGTTGTCAAACCTCAAAAAATTCATATCAAAGTGAAGAAGGGAAGGCTGTCAAAGTTTGATAAATCCATGTTTAGGAAGAAAAATAAGATCCTTACCAACTAAAACCTGAAAGCAAACCATTTTAGACAAACTCATCTATAAGTAAGGAGTAAGGACGCAATAATAGAACTGAATAGCAAAAAAAATCCACATATCCAATTCCATTCAAGAAGCAAAATAGAAAGCCTCGTCCACTGAAAAGAACTCGCATCTAGAAAAGGCAAGTTCCTGTAAACTAAAACCAAAAACTCATGTTCTTTAACTTGTGGTATGTGTCACGGGATTGAAGCTTTTGTATGCATTCCCATACTTGAGAGGGGTTTTAGACCTTCTTCATGGCAACTTTTTTACCACCATTAACGCAGAGAACTTTACAAAAAGTTGTTTTTCAATTCTAAAACTTTTGAGGCAACTCATGCCCAAGCAACAAGAAGATGATAGGGTCCAGTTGATTACAAGAAATCTCTTCGTTGATCATTCGCAAGGAAATAGACTAGCCACCGATCCATAAAAAAGGGATGGATATGGGAAATTCTAACCATCTCTGTTTTTTGTTCTAATCCACAAAAACTAAAGAAACATCAAAGCAAAAAGGAAGAGATATAAAACAGTTTGACTAATTAAGGGTAATGTTGGGAAAATATGTATAATATGTTCTGACAACTAATTTTTGTGTTGGCATTATCACTAGTCTTTTTTTTTTTTTTTACGATCAAAGACGTGAACTTCTTGTTGTGCAAATAAAAGGGTTCAGTGTGTCACTACGTATACTATTAAAAGAAGGCTATGATTCAATACTGAAAATCTTTATTGTGCGTAAATAAATTAAGTATAAATGGGCATTTTCCTTGATTATTATGCTAGAATAGGTGATATTTTCTCATTTTTTTTGTAGGATAGAAATTTAGGGATGCGTAATTTTTTTGTCATTTTAAGAAAGTTCGATTATCTATGCTTATGCTCCTACATTCTAGGTTTTTTTAATTATTTTTTTTTTTTTAAGGAAAACCTAGTAGATGTCTTGCAGGCAGGGGCGGAACTAGGGGAGCACACTTCAAAGCAGGGTGGTCGACGGTCGGCAATTTTTTTTAAAGAAAAATTACATTAAAATTTTAAAATATTTTGAAAAAAAATTATGTATATATTCAACCCTGTAAATATTTGTAAGTAGTTTCGTCACTGCTCGCAAATAAGTGCTCTTGCTATATTAGTTATATATATGTACTCTGTTAGGGTGGTAAAACGTCTTAAACATTTACATTCATCAAACACTTGAAAAATCAACAGGAGGGTGATAACTAATAAGTACAACTAGGTTATTCAAATATAACAATTGTCACTTTCAAGCAATAACATTACATTGTCTCACTTAAATATTTTTACTTAAACCTGCAAACTGTTAACATTAAAATATTCAACAAATGATCGATTGTACTAACAACAATGCTGATCAGGAAATTTAAGTGTACACCATGGAGTCTTTCAAAAATAGGCGTTCATTGCTTTAATAGAAGTTACTTTCTCTATTACAAAAAAGAAGCTGATATTGAGTTTTGATATTTCTACGTACTATTTTTATTATATATTTCAAAATTCAATATGAACTATTTTTTGAGATAGAAAGAGTATAATACATACTTTCATACGAAGTGTTGTTTAAACATACCCATAGTGCTTGAAGCTTTTTAACTAACTCATGGATGTAAGCCTAATTAGATTAATCAAAACCATTTAAATTAAAGTACTAATTTCACTGTTATGTATCAATTCTGGTTATCATTGAACTAATTAAAAGAACCATGAAGTAATCATAACCACCTTTCGTAACCCTTTTTTTCTGCTTGTTTCGTTTTCCGAAACTCCATCTCCTTTGATTATTGCATTATTGAGCTTCTGATTTTAATTCAGTCGAATGCTTGAATGTGACTAATACTAAAAGCTGACTAAATTAATTAACTCAAGAATAAACTCAATTAGAAATAATCGAAATTATTTGATTAAAGCACCAACCTACACTGTTTTGTTCAACCCCGGTTATATTTATTCAACAAATCATCAACAAAAATAGATTTATATACAATAATTTGATTGAAGTGCATAAAATATAGGCATCTAAGCTAGTGTAAGTAACAAACTCTTTTACTTGATAGCTAAAACACGATAGACTATAAAATCTGGGTATTATTAGATCACTTACATAATGAGTTTGGGCTTCACTTAACTTGGCTAATCAACAGGTTTGGTATTGCTGTTTCTGTAGGAACATTTGATATTGTACATATAATTTTTTTTCCCCGAAATTTTTTTTTTTTTTTAAAATCAAGGTAATTTTGTAAAATACCTTTTGTTTTATATATGCGAAATGTTAACATAATTTATTATGATTTATGGAGTATTGGACACAACAAAGACAATTAGACCATGGGAAAACAACTATTTGGGTATCTAACCTCCTTGTATATATATTCTTGAGTACTTAATAATATTGTTAGAGTGAATAAAACATGTAAAGAAAATGTTGTTTTTGTTTCGCGTGATAAATCAGAATAATTTGTACTTTTATAAAACTGCACCCTTGTTTTAGGACAAAGCATCTTAAAACTTAAAGCTAATTTTATTTTTTACAGTCACCCCTTACTCCCAATTTTTTCACTATATCATTTTTTATTTGAGACCCATAAAGTCATGGAGTGGAGCAAAAGAATTTGCAAATTTAGTAGAAGTATTTGTTTGTCTAATACTAGTCACTCAAAACTGCTTCTGAGGACAATAGAAAAAAGATTATTTTTGTGACTGTAACAATTAAATTTACCTTAGTGAAATAATTAAACAGTTTGCTCATTCTGTTTCTCGAATTAGCTTTTTTTTATTTTAAAAAAAATAAAATAAAAAATCGAAACCTCATTAATCGACCCTAACAACAAACTTAATCTGTTGGGTTGATGACAAAAGTATTCCAATCTTAGAATTATTTAAATTGATTTCATTCCATAATTTCCATTCAATTCAATTTTTCTTCCAATCATTGCACAAAGTAACCAACCGAAAGCATTTTCATTTTTGTCAAAATAAGAATATACAGCTGGCTTGACAACGCGCAAACACCACTGGCCACCTCTTTCCTTTTTATATCTTCATCACAAATGGCGCTCTAAATCAATCCAAGCAAGAAAGCAAGAAAAAGAAAAAAAGAGGGAAAAAAGATTCAAGGGCAATTTCTGAATTGTAATGGCGAAATCTTCATTTTTGTCACTGGTTTTAGTTCTTTTCGTAATGATTACGGCTTTGGTTCTTTCAACTGTTTCTGCAAGTGGGGAGCAGTTCTATGAAGCGGCGGAGATGGGTTGGATGAGATCTGGCGGCGGCGGCGGCGGAGGATTGGTTGGGGAGGCGGAGGAGTTGGAATTCGAGCTGATGGACTCGGAATCCAACCGGCGAATCTTAGCCACCGCCAGGCGTTACATCAGCTACGGCGCGTTGCAGAGGAACAGTGTGCCTTGCTCCCGCCGTGGGCAGTCGTACTACAACTGCCGCCCTGGTGCTCCGGCGAACCCTTACACTCGCGGGTGCAGTGCCATCACGCGCTGCCGGCGTTAAGTTTAGCTGCTGAAGAATTCGGAATCTCAGTATTCATCGGTTCTTTGTCTGAAATTTGTCCTCTTTTTTTCTTTTTTTTTTTTTTCTTTTGGTGCGTAAATGATTCATTTTATTCTTTTGTTAATATTTTTTGTATACAATATATATTTCTTTATCCACAATGAATTCTACCTCTTTTTTTTTTCCCCGTTTTTACCATTTCAATTCAGATTGTCTACTAAATTCTCGCACTATGTCTCTGAATTGAATCTAACCCAACCCCTTAATTTCATTATCGACATCAACCAAATTCTTATTGCCATTTTTTTTTTTTTGGTTGGATGTAAAAAATGAGCGAATTAATAAGTGGTCAGTTCATGGATGTTTGTAACTCCAAAGATGCAACAACACAGTAAAAACTGGAAGACAGCTTAACGGTTTATCACACAGTTCTATGACGATATAATTTGGATGAAGTTGACTTTTTTTCTCTCTTATTAATACTCTTTGTGATACGAATCATTTGCGTTACTGGTTGTCATTTTTAGATTATGAGCTGTGTTTGTTTTTTTAAAAAAAAAAAAAAGAAAGAGAGAGAGAGAGAGGGAGCTGCCTCGTATCGATTTCGATGGCGAATTTGGTCACTCTATTAGTGTCATTTTTGGCAAATAAAGCTAAATTATTGAAGCTTGAACTAGTGAAAACTAACAGGTAGAGATGAAATTCGAGTTTTAGATGGGAATTGGTCGCTCTTTTACTGTTATATTTGGCAATAAAGCTAAATAGTCAAACTTTAACTAGAGAAAACTAACAGGGGAGATAAAATTCAAGTTATCTTTCCTCATGTTTTACAAGCAAAATGACACAATAATGTCAGCTAGGCGTGTCCCCATTGTCTAAACTAAATGGTGTTGATCATTATTTATAACAGAAACTTGATGTCTATTGCTAAATTCATTCCTAAATTCAAACTTTGGAGTTTAGAGAGAGCAATAACATCAGAATATCGAAGCATATTGGCTGCAGAATTCTGTAATTAAACCCGGAGCATAGCTTCATTTGGTGATTTAGCAGGGATCGAAATAAGATGTCGAGATTTGAGAGACTTGAGAGCTGAGATACTACGAAAAGATTTCTGCTTCATTTAATACTCCAATACAGATTTTGGGGCACTCCCTCAATTCTTAAACGACTTAAAAGTATTTGTGATACATGACAGTACTCCTCTAATCTGAGCCTTGTTAATCACTTGAAATACAGTAAGAGGGACAACAACATGGAGAATCATATACACATCTAGATAAATGTCGGTGCTCATGCGTTAGCGAAGCTAGCAAGTAGGAAGTGCAGTTTGTTAATGGATGCGCCATCAAGCTAAAACTGTATGGTGAGATCATCCAGGTTAGGAGAACCTTGAATCTGTAATCCGTGCTCATTTGCAAGATGTAATAAGCATATGAAGCATAAATGTGGGGAGATGTCTTGCAGAGATGATGCAGCTCTGCAATCATAGGGAAACTGTGCCAGTGCTTCCTTGAAAGATACTTTCTCTGGTACTTCATCCTGCAATAGAAATTACGTTGTATGATTATTTACAAGGCAAGAAAGATCATAGATACGTCTTGTAGACATTGCAGCCATGCTCCAGAAAGAATTTCAGATGGTATTGAAAAAGCAAGCAACAGGTGGTCACACATAAATAGTGCTTTTCATACCTCAACTAGATCTATTTGCTTTCATGAATTCACTATAGCTATTTCAGGTAGTAGAGCATGGAGAGTACAGAAGCAGTTTTTCTTTTTCCATTTAAGCTCATTCATTTTAGTTCAGGTCTCCAAAAGACATTGCTTGAGACGTCAAAGACATCATAAATCAGCACATGATTCCATATCAAGACAAACCAAAATATTATACCAAGAGCCGAACACCAAAATACTACGCAGCACTTGTCCAATTTAACAATTTATATACCCTGCCATCCATGTGGAACATTTCTTGCATCACTGGCAGCCGAAAACATGAAAACTTAGGCTCTATCAAAGTAGAGGATGTCAGGAAAATACGAAATCACCTGGTTTCCTGCCACATCTGGCTCTCTAATATGCTTCCACAGTGTTTCTTTCAGTGCGTGCACATCAACCTGTTTTGATGTTTTGTCATACTGGACTTCAATCTTGTTAACCTGTTTGAAAACAAGGTTTTAGTGTACAAAGACAAGCAACTTGCAGCACTAAAACTGCCCAATAATGAAAATGACCTGAAACTGTTATCAGAACTTGCCATTTTTCCTGTCTCGTGCATTTTGTTATCAACAAACCTATATCCTTTTTCTGGTACGAATGAGCTACTCTTTGGTTTGATTTCCATCATGAAAATTTATAATAAATTGGTGGGCATCTTCTATCAGAGCCACTTGCATGTTTGCAGAAGTAAATTTTCGCCCAAAATTTCGTTATTTTTATGAATTATTCTTTGCATAAGGCCTCATGCTACAACTAAATGGAAATCCCACAATAGCTATTACATGTATTCTGCTTCTCATATCTGACACAATGATTGTAGAATGTAAAGGGAGTAATGAAGACCTCTAAAGTCCCAGCAGCAATGGAGTTACGCTACAGTTTGAACTATATGCTCGCTACACTGAACAAGTTAAAACCAGAACCCTCGTCAGACCTAGTTTTTCTATGAGGATTACTCATTATGAAATTTCCCACTAATAATCATTTTTTAAAAGGGGTAAGGCGTCTGTCAGACAACTACAGGACCACCCCGGTCCGGCCGACGCATGGGCTGAGAACAATCCTCTACGGCGCTCCGACCTGAAGGGCACGGAGAGGTATTAATCACGCTCTGCTCAAGTGGTCATAACTCATCGACCAGAACCCACTAATAATCGCATGTGCGGCTAAAATCAATTAAGATTAAACTAAATATAGAAGATGGGGCACTACTGAGATGTTGATTAAACATATGACATGACTAACTGGACGGGTATATGAATTGTTCATTCACAGATATGCAATGCTCTGAATATGAAAGTAAAAACCCAGATAGAAAAATAACAGCAATAGAGCTAACTTTTCTGGTCATAATTCTATGGTTGTAAAATTCAAATGTAATAAGAATCTCAGGAAAATACCACATACAATTGTCAGAATCTTGACTAATCATGGCAGAACCAGACCTTTTCATGTACAAATTTATGCACTATATACTGGCTAGAGCAGAAACAATAAGAAAAAGTTCAATTGAGGTTTCATAACAAACACATAAATTAGACAGATGGCATTTCCATATAACAAAAACTAATCAAAGTTTGAACAAGCTACAGAAAAAAAAAAAAAAAAATCAATTCCACACTAGATCTGTTTTGGCTCACGAAACAATTTCTAGCATACTATGTTACCAATAACTAAAAGCTTCAGCCTTTTTGTTCCAACTTCCACGGAAATGTATTCTTAGCATGTCACTAAAAATTACGGGGGCCATGCAAGCAAGCAAAAAGATTTCCCAGGTTTACACAGAGTGAGCCAACAGGGCCATTCACACAATATTGTTATAAAAAGGCATAATTTTCCTTTTTGTATTCATGCCAGAGCTTTCTCACTCCCACCATTTTAAAACACAATTGCTTCGATCAGTGAAATTCGGTACGTTAAAAAATCGTTGACAGTTGTTATGTACTCATAATTCGGTTGATTATATGTCATGGCAAATGGTTTAGCACATTGGAAACAAATAAATATCGACGGTGTTTGTCGCTCAGGTTAAGGGTTCAAATTTTCATTATAAATTGAAAATATGCATATAAACAACCTGGCGGGGCTGAGAGACAAGATTGCTGAAATCTTCATTGTCACCATCATTAGCACCTTGACTATCAAAGGAACCATCAAACGCATTTTCATCATCCCACAGTGGAATCGCTCTATCATCATCTGTTTGTGGAACCGAAGCATCTAGCCATACAAAATCCCAGATGATAAGAATTATAAGTTGAAATTATACATAAATTCTACCTGCTTGGGATGAGAGAATATCTCTTGGATTACTGTAGTAAAAATACTGGTGGCATAGGAATGTACTTAAACTGACAAAAATACTGTGTTTAAGTATCATCATAACACAGTAGAATCTTGAAGAACATTGTTTAACTAGGTTGTCAATCTAAAAGTTGACTTGACAAATTAATGTTACAGTAAAAGGAAATAACCATGTATATATCAGTTATTTAGAATAACATTCTCGCGGTAAGGTAGGTTTACCTGGAGCCTTCCTTCGTCTTCTCCCGAGGCACTAGAATAAGAACAACACAAACGAATTAGAAATGTTCTATAAGGATGACAACAAGCAATGTAGTTTCCATCTACAAGTTACGATACCATTATATTCGGCAGAAGGAATAGTTTTACAAGATCATCTGGTTGATAATGACAATCTTCTGGAAGTCTTGTAGTACCAGGTGCCCTATTTGGAGGCAGTAATAGGGACTTGGGATTCTTGGGAGGAGCAAAGACATTGGGCATGTTGGTCTCCAATGCTTTAGAAAAATCAATTTCAGATTCAGTTTTTCTACTCCTTGATATTTTTGTCTTCAATGGTGGGGCATTTTCATCCACGGGAACCTCTGAAACTCAAAAAAGTCAAAATCAAAAGCACAAGATGAAGATTACTGAACCTTAACAGTTACCTTTGGCCTTCCGATACTTCCAATGATCTGGACCAGCCCAAGCATTTTGCTTTGAAGCCAATCTCAAGCTTATACACAGATAACCATCGTATTTCTCAAATCTGTCATCCACATCCCATTCATAAGACATGGATGGTTCACCTCCCTGAAAAACTAAGCAATATTATTTGCAACTTCCAATAAATATACATATAACTTCACCAGCCAGTATTATTTGCAACTTCCAATAAATATACATATGACTCCTGAAATTAAGATTATTAAGTACCTCGTGTTGGCCGGGTAAATTTGGGTCCCTGTCGTAGCTACTTTCATCTATAATTTCTGGTTGTTCATCTTGATCAAAACCCCAAGTTCCACAATTATCAAAGGTATCACTGACAAAATCAAAATCATTTCCCTCAGCTCCAGAAAATTGTGCATGTGACTTGTCCCCCGAAGGATATGGTTCAGAAGGTCTTCGATTGTCCTCGTCAAAGAGGTTAACTATGTCCTTAAGACTAGGAGAGATCTCTTCTTTCTTTGGCATATTCAGAACCATTTCTTGTATGCTCTCTATGCCACCAAAACAAAAGAGAATCAGAAGAGCAGTAAGACAAAACTATGAAAACCACAAATAAGAGTTACATTATGAGAAAACACACCTCTCAGAAAAGGTATATCAATCATTTCAGGCCTATCGGGTTCAGTTGCAGGTGATTTGAACTTCCCAGGTAATTCCAGTGAGTCGAAAAGCACCATGCAGTTACCATATACTCCAAGGTTGTTCAACAGAAGACCCTTTGCTCCACCTTCATCAAACTGTGCAGACATCTGATGGTAAAGAGGATCCACAGCAAAGGCCACTATAGGATAAGCAAAATTAGTCATGCTAATGCAACATAAGGAGTTTCTGGCATTTAAGAAGGATCATACACACCATCAAACTTTTTTACATTCAATGCCTCAAAGGATGACTCTAGTGTTGACACAGGTGACACCTACAATATTCAGCTGTGATTTCATAACCGTGATTATAGTATAATAATCCTCAAACAGTGCTTTACAGAAGAAAACCATTATTAACCTTTCTCTCTTTTTCTTGCTTTGATTGATCTTCCCCTCGCCTACTGTTATCAATAGCATCTTCCAATGTGCCCTCTGCAAAGGGGAGCAAATAGCTAAGGACTATAATATGGAAATAAAACAAAACAAGACATGAAAAATTCTTATGTACTAACTTGATAGGATATCACATCCGATAATAAACTAAAATATGTATTTGAATTTGAATGAAGAATATCACATCACTAAAAAGCCATAGATCCTGCAATCAATCTCTTCCCGTGTTAACCTGACAGAAACTGTGCCAAAGCTCATATCTTCACAAATTGTTACAGGTAGGTTGTTTTACATGTAAAGCTGAGTAGCAAAAGATTGGTAACATAGCAACCATTCAACATGCATAAGCCAAAGAAGAAAGACAATCTTTCTCAACCAAATGGTTCAACAGTGATGGAAACAAAAAAGAAATAAAGAAAAGAGCATAGTTCACAATACTAGCGCAAGTATATTTTTCCTTGGTCAAAGTATGCAAAATCTAAACCTCCCATCTAACAAAATTGAGAAATAAAAAACCATTTTCATCCCATAAATAGCTCTTTTCAGGTAGCTCAGTTGTAGAACTCAGAGACATCCTGACTGGTAGGCCAGGGAACACTGTTTTTCCCGTTTGAAGGAGCAATTAAACATCTTATTGTAGTGACAACCAACAAGTGCATTACCTTGTTCTTCCTCCTGGCCAACCCGATTGATTCTTCCAAGGAACTTATACGCCTCTGAATGCACAGAATCTACCCTCATTGAATAGATCTTAACTCCAGCTTCAAGGGTACAGCTAGCCTAGAATTCACAAAAAATATATAATAATTCACTAGGCAAAAGGAGCCAGAAAAGATACTCAAGAGCCACATATTAAACATAATTCTAATAATTTTCATAATGGCTTTCAAAGCAAGATATTTTGGTGGATCTTACAAAGAGGGGAAAAAAAAAAAAAAAAAAAAGGTCCTTAGCAGCAGATTCTTGTTTTCACTGAATCCTTGACATGTTAAACGTCATTTGTTCTGTTTAAACTAAAAACTGGCTGATTATGCATCAATAAAGAGGAAACTTCCTTTTTTTTAACTTTCTTTTCCATGTTTCAGCAATAGCTCAACTCCTAGATAGTGTAATCCAAATCCCCACCAAAAAACACAAAAATAAAAATTGAAAATTACAGAACCAGACAGGTGCCAAACAAACACATGCTACCAATCAACCGAATTGTAAGAATGATGAACCTTTTGAAAATTGGTCTCCGCGTCATTCCCTGCCTCCGCTCTAATTATCTCGCAGAGATGGTCAATCAAATGCAGCTCCCACGTATTCTTTTGATTTATTTTCTGAACCCAAGAAAAAAAAAACAACTTTTGTTAAATTCAAGCGAATCATATGTTCCATGGCTAAGGAATTGAAGAAAAAAAGTTAGAAAGAGACGTTTTCACTAGCGAGTTTGATGCAATTTCGGAAGAGGTCGAGAATCTGTTCTTTTTCAAGGAATGATTCGTTGGCCGCGGAGTCGGGGGCAGGGCCGGCGGCATGAGAGACCTTGCGCCGGAACGCCGCAGCACGAGCAGCCCGAGCTTGAGCTCGTTCGAGTTTGTCGTCATTTGAGCCGAGGAAGAACGGACTGGACGGCGAGAAAAGACCCCGCTGCTGCTTCGTGTTCGGACTTAGGGCTTCCGCCATTTTTCTTACAATTTGAAAGAAATCCCTCCAAAATTCGAATTCCAGGACAAGGAATTTAGTTTTGCTCCATGGAATTTCGGAACTCGCTTGAAGAATCGAAAAGCTTTGTGATGGGTGTTTCTGTAGAATTGTACTACTTACTGTGTGTGCGAGTGCGTTGAACTTTTGAAATTTTAGAGATTTTCCCTCCTTTCATTTTAATTTTTCTCAATAATACTAAGCCTAGCTAAGGGCGTGTTTGGTGACCCTATAATTCTTAAATTTAGGAGGCATTCATTTTGTCACCTGGAAACGAATTTGAATGAGGACGGAATGGATTAGAATATTTATAGATTCATGAATCCAATAGTACCGTTTGGTTTAATCTGGATTGGATTAATTATAATTTTAAGAAAATATATTTTTTCCTTTTTTTCCTGCTGCTCCATTTTCACGCTGCTCATCCCCTCCCCTTTCCCATTCAACAAAATCGTCATCAACAAATCGTGTCTTTATCCTTTTTTCTATTCAAATTTTTGTCAAATTGCTGGAAACTTTGTTAATGTAATCTTCTAATCATTGTTAATTTATAATTCTTGTTGTGGTCGATCATGCAGATCTAACAGCGTGGATAATGTGGAGGTGGTAATTTTGTTGCAATTGGGTTAGGAAAGAGAGAAGAGCAGAGGGAGGTATATAAAATCACAAAGACTAAAGAAGAATAAGGAGGAGGAGAAGAAGAAGAAAGAGGAGGACAAGGAAATCTGATTTGATTCTTACTACTATCGGGAATTTTTTGCATATTTTTTAATTTCTTTTTGGTTTTTGTTCTTACTGCACCGGGAAGAAGAAGGAGGAGCAAGAAGAGGAGGAGAAGGAGGAGGAGGAGGAGGAGGGAGGTGAAAATGGAGTAGGGGAAGAGAAACTTTGATGGCAGAACGGGGAGAGGAGGGAGGAAGGAGGAGAGCAGAGAGATAATTTTTGAAAGAAAAAAAAAATTAGGAGAGGATTCAGAATCGAATCATCGGAGGGGAGGTGGGATTCGATCTTTCGGATTCACCTATTCCGAGGAATCACGAATCCAATCAACCAAACATGTCATTCAATTTCGAATCCTAATCTTCAATCCGATTCCAATCAAACAAACGGCTCCTTAATGGACTATCAATTTATCATGTCTTAATTATTATTAGGGAAAATCTAGAGTCTCGTTGTCCATTTTGACAGAACCGTTTTGTTTTCATTCAACTAATAAGAATTGAAGGTATAAAATGTGTTTATAGGGTGAGTAACATGCTGACATATCTCCAACTATTTTTCATTAAAAAATCTAAAAATATTTTCATAAAATGCTAATCAGGTTGTTTACCAGGATAAAATTTGTCTGTACATTACCTGATAAAATTCACATATAAGAACTCATTTACTTATTTCTTGGATAAGTTGTTTGTCACAATTGAATTTATTTTTTTTCTTTGTTTTTTTTTTTTTGTTATCAAGCAATTTCCTGGTTTGTAAATCAGGTAAGAGGGTAACAAAATATAGAATTTATTGTGTCTATGCCTTCTATCCATAGCCAATGGTATCCCTCACTTTAATATACTGTTGGATGATGATAGATCGAAGGCCTTTTTTTTTTGGTGTTTAAGAATGGTTGTTACTCGTGGTGGCATTGGGGAGAAAAGTTGGAGGAGACAGGGTTGGTGGTAGAAGTGCCTCATCAAAGGACTTATATGGCAGAGAAGGAGGACCTATTAGCGGTGAAGAAGGTGGTTCATCCGATGGTGGGTGGTGGAGGAAGTGGGATAGGCACACTTCTTTAATCGGTTGTCTCCCGCAAGTAGAACTGTTCCTACAGTAATAAACTTGTTGAGTGGGTTTTGGTCTCCCTCGTATAATCAAATACGTTTGGGTCCATTTTATTACTATACACCATCATTTTAATCTTACAATTATAGTTTTAATTTAATTGATCTTACGGTTATTAATTTAAATAGGAACCGTCCCGTACAGGACTCTAGCCGCTCCCTTATTATTATTATACAAGACGCATAAAGCCTAAGATTTACACACTAACATTGCAGGAATATAATATTTCTACAATATCATGTCTAGCCCACGAGCAATTTCTAGTGCCGGACTATCTCACACATGTAACCCCGATTGACAAGATGTCGCATACGATACAATAAATCTGTGAAAAAATTGTTCCCTCCACATGATGATACACTGCATACTTTCCAAGATTTTTAGATTGTTTTAAATTATTCCATCCAACAAAATGAATTTCAGTTTGGACTTTTACTTTTGCTTTTACTTTTACTTTTTTTCTTAAAGAAAAAAATATAAATTCAAGAAATACTCATAACAATTGTTTTATAACATAGGGACTATATTATTGCTTCAAGTGCAATAAAAAGAAATAAATTTGAGGAGTACTTAAGTTAGGAAGAATTTTCAATTGTTTAGCACATGTTTCATGTAGATTTTAAATAGATCACTTCAATGGTTGTGTTCTTAGTATGCTTAGTGATGACGAAGTCGAACATAAATCATATGAAAGGAACGCAAGGATGGATACATATGATCTACTAAATTCAACTTGACAAGAAGAGTTTTCAGGGGGGGTTGAATACCAGAATTAGATTTAAACTGGAAGTTCAGAGAGAGGAGATGGGCAATCATATAAGGTTTCTCTAGAAAAGAGGAATCATTATGTGCAAGAATGAACTTCCTCGGAACAAGGTTTGGATTTCTAACCGTTGAAGGGTGAGTGATCATGCCGCCCGTGCCGCAAACTAACTTCACTGTCATGGAACTACGGAAGTGGCATTAAAAGCTATAGGACATGCGATCTTTAAGACTTTGGATATGGTGGATTCAATTTAACGACTTCCGAGCTACTCTTCATATCACAATTATCCATGTTGGTCCTGATTCGGTTTTCAATTCATTCCTCTTTGCCGATCGAGGTGGCACTATCATAGAGTGAAACAACAACAACGAGTTCAACATGTGTGGCAGAAGGTGCAAAACCCTCAGCAGATGGCTATAGATATCCCAGAGAGTGTGCAAAGTGATCTCGAACTCTCGATATACCTGAGAAGATACCCATTGTTGACTGTGGCTTCTCTCAAATTGGCAAAAAAAAAAAGGCGGCATACAAGCTGAAGCAGACAGCTCACATGGACAACACACCAAAATCCCACTCACTTACACATAAGTCCAATTAGAGACGTTTGTCAGCGATAGATGCCCCCATATGTTGCGATGAGGATGTCGATGACCTGTTTTCCTGTCATAGGAATAACATCAAAGAACCAATCGGTAGGCAGCAGGCACCGCTTGGGAAAACTCGAGAGAAACTCTCTAACATGATACTATTTAAGTGTGTTGTGGAAAAACTCATCATCAAATTTTTGGTGTTTGGTTACAAAGAACAAAAAGGTTGGTTCTCGCTCAAAGAACAAAATTTAGTTAGATATACTTACTCTAACATGATACTATTGGGTTTGAATTTGGGCCATGTGAACAAAGCCCAACCTAAGGAGAGAGTAATATAATGCAGTAAAATAATTTGGAAGATAAAGGAAACAGTAATTACTTTTTATTTGTTAACAGTATCTTAATTACTTTTACTTATTTAGTTAGTTTTATTTAGATTAGTCACGTTACTTTACAGTTGAGTGTGTGACACGCGAATCAAATACCATATTCTTAATGCCATTAGGAAGAATGAGAAATTTTGCACAACATTAATCAATACATAAAATTGTAAATTAATGAACAGAATAAATAATATGAAAAGTAAATCCTATATTCGGAGCAAACTAAACAGAATACAACAAAAAAAGTTTACTACTAGTCAATCATTCTGATTTTTAATTGGTTAGAAAATGATACAAACCAAATTTTATGCTCCCAGTGATATTAGGAATGAAAGATCAGTGGGGGAATTGTTGCACTACATGTAGAGTGAGAAAAAAAACAAACAGACTATCAGTATGGTTTTGAAAGACCGGAAATCATACATACTAAATTTTCCTAGATAGTTCACGTCATAGAGAAGATACTACCAAAATTCAAGTGTGAGAGGTGACAAAACTCACATTGAATCCTCCAATAATATAGGTAGATAAACAAAGAATTGACATTGATAAACTGTTGAAAATATCAAACTATATCACATCGATAATCCAAGAATGATATAAAGGTCGATACTAACCAAAATATATCATGTATTCCATTCCTTAAAGCTTGACTAAGAATCAAAACCGATCCAAAAAGTCTAAAAAAAAAATGCAACCATTGAATATCGTAGAGTTTTGTTTGACTTCTTCATATAAATATAAAAGCTACAAGGTGTTGATTTTTTTGGCATATATTTTCCTTGTCGACTCTTTTGTCTCTTTAGCTAAGGTGATGTTAGAGTAGACGAAAGCCAAAACTCATTGTTTTGTAACATTCCATAGTTTTTTGATGATAATACTATCTAGAAATTAATTAATTTAAATGTATTAATCTAATAGTTTATGATATTTAATTTTTGGTAATTTTGTGATTAGGCATCCACCAACTTTATTAATTTGAAAAAGTACAAACTGTTGAAACCAATGCTCAAGACTTACCCAATAAAAGAACTTTCCTACAAACATTTTCTGAAAATTTCTTGGCAGTTTTGATGCAAAGAAAGAAAATAAATGTAATATCATGTTTATTACAATAGAATCTTATATCTATTTACATTAAAGAAAAAGAAAAACAATGTAGAGTTTGATTTTACTTTTTACACTAATCTCGTTGTCTTTTTTGTTTTTTGGTAAATTGTAAATATATATTCAGGATCAAACTTTGAGTTTAGCATATTTACAACCAAAAAGACCTATGTACGAACTCCCTACTCAAACACTCTATACTCAGTTTAAATCTTCTATCCAAAAAGTTGGTTCAAATTTGTTTTTTCCCCCTCTCTTTTCCTGCCTACTATTACTTGCTCTATTCTCCACCATAGCTCCTGTTTAATACAGGTGACCACATCCTTTACCTGCCTGTGCTTGCCTGCAAAAATATGACCATTCCGCTCTGCCCATATATAATCAACCACTGCCACCATGGCTACATACCAAATCTGTTTTCTCAGTTTTGATTTCTTCCACATTGTCAAAACTCTCTGTCTCCATACCTTTTGGTTCTCAGAAATCTTTAGTGCTCCCAACCAACTCCCCATATCCATTAGTAGCTCCTTTGCCTAGGCACATTCAAAAAATAGATGATTTGAAGTTTCAGGAACAGCCTGACAGATGTCACACTCTGCTGATCCACTTAACAGCTGTATAGATGCCAGTCTCTCTCTTGTTAAAAGTCTGCCCTTCCAAAACAGCCAAGCTATGAAACTGTGCCTGGGTACATTCATTCTAGACCATATCATTTGTGCAGCAGGCAATTTACTAACATCACCCATCAACCATCTATAACAGGAAGAAAATTGAGAATTTACCTGACCTGGTATGTTTCCATTTTCCACCTTCTATTTCAGTTTTCATTATATCCTTCAAGGCCAATAACTTCCTCCATTGCCAACTTACATCCTGTTTTGCTTTCACCAACCAGAAATTCCTCCCTTTTATATATCTTTAATGTATCCATTTCACCCACAAATTCTCTTCCTTCATAGCTATTTGCCAAATCTGTTTTATCAAAGCAACGTCATTCCATGTTCTAGCATCTCTTATACTCAGGCCACCTTCAAGTTTAGTCTTGCATACCTGCTCCCAACCTACAAGCGAGATTCCCCTTCCTGACTCCTTGGCACCCCACAAAAAGGTTCTGCATATCCTATTTATCTGGTTTGTCACACTCTGAGGGATCATAAAAGCATGTGCCCAAAAGTTTTTAATAGCAAGCAAGACTGTATTTATCAATTGCAATCTACCACTGTAACTCAGGTGTTGTGAACTCCAACACTTGATCTTGGCAGCCATCTTCTGGACCAATTCATCACATTCTATTTGTGTCCATTTTCTTGGTAACAGTGGCAGTCCCAAAAATTTGACAGGGAAGTTACTTTCCCTGAAACCAGCAATCTAACAAATATTCTGCTTTACTTCATCTGATACACCTCCAAAATATACCCCTGATTTAGCTTGATTAGCTACCCATCCTGTACACTCAGAGAATTTCTTTAATACTTCACAAATCTTCCTGACAGTGAACTCATCTGCTTTGCAGAAAATCATCAAATCATCTGCAAAGCAGATGTTGGTGATTTTAAGAGTCTTACATTGGGGATGAAACTTGAACTTTATATCCTCAGCTGCATCCTTCAAAAGTCTAGTTAAGTAATCCATAATCATCACAAAAATGAGTGGTGATATAGGATCACCTTGTCTTAGATCTCTTCTTCCTTGGAAGTACCCACAACTCTCCCTATTAATATTGACTGAGTAGGACATTGTTGTGATGCATTCCATTATCTTATTTGCAAACGACTTTGGAAAGCCATAACCATCAAGCATTTCTGCCACAAAGCTCCACTCAACCGAATCATATGCCTTCCTAATATCGATCTTCATCATACACCTCCCACTTATATTCTTGCCTCCATACTTCCTTACCAATTCCTGAGTTAGCAGAATATTGTGTAAGATCAACCTTCTGCTAACAAAGGCACTTTGGTTATCATCAATCAGGTCAGGTAGCACCCCTTTCAGTCTTTCACTTAGGATCTTGAAGATACACTTATAGATGACGTTGCAGCATGCGATCAACCTGTATTCTACTGCATTCTGTGGGTTCTCAACTTTTGGAATAAGTGACAGCATAGTGGAGTTGATCTGCTTCAACATTTTTCCATTCTCAAAGAACTCTTTGACTGCTGCCGCAATATCATCCTTAATGACACACCATGCTCCCCTGTAAAAGCCACTTCCATACCCATCTGGTCCCGGACTCTTGCCACTATGAATCCCCCAAATGGCATTTTTAACTTCTTTCTCTGTCACTTCTTTCACACATCTTAGTTGTTGTTCCCAGGTCAAAGTAGCTCCTTTCAAAAATATTTTGTCTTCAGCTGCTTTCCTCTGGGTACTTTGCCCTAACAGCTTTTGGAAGAAGTCAATGAAATGCTGTTTGATCTTGTCCCAGTTGCATCCAATCCTGCCATCCTCTGCCACTATAGAATTGATCCAGTTCCTGGCTGTTCTGACTCTCACTCTTGCATGGACATAAGCAAAGTTTGAGTCACCCTGCTTAATCCCTTGTTCTTTTGCTTTTTGTAACAGGAAACACTCTGAAGCTATGGTGGCCTGCATAAATTGTTGATACATCTCTTTCTCCTTTGCTTGTAGTACTTCATCTTGAGGCCTATGACTCAATTTCTCTTGCAGTTGCTGCAATTGCTCCTTGGGTTGATTTGGATATTAGCAAATTTTGTGCGATTCAGTTGTTTCAAATCAGCCTTGAGTCTCTTGAGTTTCCTCACCACCTGATACATTTAACTCCTCCATCTTCCTGTTTCCACCCCTTCTCAACAATCCTGAGAAAATCAGCATCATTGCACCACATGTTAAAAAATTTAAAAGGAACTTGATTCCTTACCCTTCCACTATCCAGTTGAACTAGTATAGGAGAATGGTCTGAGATTCCAGCTGCCATTACTGTACAAATTGCATTTGGAAACTGCCTCATCCAGTGCTCATTGCTCAAAGCCCTATCAATTTTCGACCAAATCCTTCCATCCCCCACCTGTATGTTTGTCCAGGTAAACCTACATCCTTGCTGCTTTATATCTTGCAGCTCACACTCCTCTATGCATCTTCGCATCCCTTAAATCTCAGTCAGGCTTACACCATGTCCTCCCAACCTTTCCTCCCTTTGCATCACATTGTTAAAATCCCCAATCACTACCCAGCTTCCATCAACTGCCCCAGATAAACCAATTAAGATTTCCCATAACTCTTCCCTCTCCCCACCTTGGTTAGATCCATACACAGCTGTACAAAAGAAACTTCCATCCCCCTGTCTTGCTTCAACATAGCAATGCATATATTGCACTCCCTGTTGGATCACATTCACTTGTAATATACTATGCTGCCATATTATACCAATTCTCTCCTTGTTTCCATCTTGAGAGTTAACCACATATCCACACCCAGGCCATGTTCTTTTCACCATTTCATCAAAGGCATGTAGTGTCATTTTAGTTTCTACTACTACTATCATGTCTACATTATATAGTCTATATAACCTACTTAACTCCCTCTATTTATTGAGACCATTTAGGCCTCTAATGTTCCAATGTAGGAGACTATTCATGATTACCTGGATCATACGGAGCATCCACCTTAGCCTCATCATGTTCTGAAGTCAAGTTCAGTTGATGTTGAGTATCCTTCTTCCCTTCTATAGGTTGCAGCTCTTCATCCACTTCCATCAAGATATTGAAACCTGGACTAGTTGTCATCTTCTCCTTGACTTTGCTCCTTTGAATCATTTCCCCTTTCCCTACTTGTATTTTTGCTTCCTCTTTTGGAACTTCTTCTGAGATGGTCAATGTTTTATTATGCTTAAGCACCTGTTTCCATTCCATAGTAGCATTGGTCTTTTTCTGTACCCCTTCCTTTTGATTCTCTGAATAGTTCTCATTGACCTCCTTCCTTCTACAATCCTTCCCACCATGGCCATAATTTTTACAATAAGAACAAAGTGTAGGTCTCCACTCATAGTAAACTGGCTGTTCAATAAGCTTGCCACATTCATCCACAAAATTAGCTATTAGAGGAGGGTGATCCTGGATTTCTACATCAACCAACACCTAGCAAAATTTGCTCTATCCTTCGATGCAGTAAAACTATCAGCTGCTATAGGTTTGCCAAGTGTACTAGCAATTCTACCTAATGTAGCCGGATTCCAGTACTTCAGTTCTAAGCCATGAAATTGTAACCACACAGGTTCATGCTTTACTTCCTTATGATTAACCCCTCTACCTACACTCCATGGTTTGACAATAACAGGATTTGATCCTAGATATGTTATAGGTTCTTTCATAGCTTCCCCTGCATCATCAATAGACTTAAATCGAATAACATACAAACCATTGGGTAAGATCAGTACCTTATCAACGCCAATGTGCTTCCATATCCTTCTGTAGTATGAGTCCATGACTTTAATGGTGGATTTGCTCCCAGAACGAAGCTCAGAACCGAGAATTTCCAATACTTAATCTCCGGCGTCAAATCCTTCTCCTGAACCCTAGCAATCTTCTTCCCTTCCTTCTCCTCAGGAGCAAAGTAATCCAAAGGAATAGCAGCATTCTTGAACCTTTTACGATCAAAGGATTCCCAGACATTAGCATTAGGGTTTGTTTTCGTGGATGAATCAGACCATTCTAACTTCCTCGCTCAACGTCTTTGTTTGTTTTTCCAGACTGTGAGTGGCTACCCCTCCATCAATTTCTCCCAGTTCCATCTCCCCCCCCCCCTTCTCTGATGGGTTTGTTGAACTTTCCCCCTTTTCCAGATCTGATCGTTCTTCGTGATAGGTCTCCAATTCCTTCGATGAGATTGCCTTTTGTGCCTCTTCGCTTTCAACTACTGTATTCAGAGTGCCTCTCTTCGCTTTCTGCTTCCCCCTCGCCATAGCTGGCGTACATTAACACAATGGGTGCTAATCTTGTTGTCTATTACTAGAAAAGTTAACTAACCCATAGATAAAGCAAGCCTCGCTCTTGATTTAAAAGTTAACTAACCCATAGATAAAGCAAGCCTCGCTCTTGATTTAGCAAGCCTCTACGTACACTTACATGATTGACCTTGGATCTATTGTGGATCCAAGATCAACAAGCCTCGCAATTCATTTGGCAATTGTGTCCATTCTTGAAACAGTGAAGTTTGCTCTGTTGAAGCTAATTTTGCCAAATTATCTGTTACAGAAATCTCTCCGTATACATACATAATTGAGTATTTCAAAAATCTTCAAGATTGAATCTTTCTCAATGAGAGAAGTCCTTTGCTTCCAAGGAAACACATTATTTCTTCTGACCATGTTCACTAGAGTGATATTGTGAGTTTTGACTTGAACATTGTTCAATTTAACCCGAGTGGCATGAATCTCTTTACTCCTGTTAATAGTGCTTCGACTTCTAAAACAAGAATATTACACAAATTCAAAAAGAAGATGAAAAAGTTGATGTTCAAAAATATATTACATACTATAATAAAGTATAGTGTACACATTCCATGGCCAAAAAGTAAATGGGGACAAAAATTGGTAAGCACATTTATTAATTTTCTACTCAGTCGTTAGCTTTCAATGCTCGGCCAAAAAGTAAATGGGGACAAAAATTGGTAAGCACATTTATTCCAAAAATTTACTGAAAATTTTAGCTAAGGAGTTTTTTCGTGCCAATTTTTATTTGAATATTCTTTGATTTGTTGGTATGGACATAGAAGTCATAGAAAGTTTTCCTATTTTTTATATTGTTAAAGTTGATTAGTCCATCTACTTAGGAAAGTTGAAAAAAACCTTAACGTCCATTATTTTTTTATCATTTAAACAATTATTATTTTTTCTTTAAGAAATTCAGGGCGGTACTTAGAGAGAGGACCTTGATTTTGTGACGTTGATTTTGTTAATTTTTTTTTAAAAAAATGTACATTGGCAGTGCTTAGAACTTACCTAAATTGAAGAACCTTTGTACAAAGATTTCTAATAAATCCCATGACCGGTTTTGATGCAACTAAATACTAAGAACTGTCTTACAAAGATTTTTATCTAAATCCCTTGACAGTTCTTTATCTTATAATTTTATTTAATTATAGTGAGAAACTATTTTACAAAGAGCTTAAAATAATTCCACAACAGCTTTCTCTGTTAAACTCTAAATCTATTGAACCTAACTAATTCGGAGGTAGAGAAAACTGTTTTGGTCTAAACACAGCAAACCTCGTAGAGTAGATTGAAGATCATTGTAGCTGGGATATTCTACTGTGCTACCACTTGATGCATGTTTAGAGAGTGCATCCGCAAGAGTATTTATTTCACAAAAAATGTGCTCAATTCTACTAGTACGGTTTAGAATGGTCTTTATTTCATTAAGTAAAGTATGATACCTCCAAGGCAAACTCATTCCATTTTGTAGAAGTTGGACCATTGCTTGTTTGTTTGATCAATGACTTTATTAAGTCGTTTGTACCCACACCATTTCATTCCACTTAAAATTCCTTTAATTTTTGCTACGAAGCTAGCTTGATTCCCAATAAATTAACTTTCAGCCCTGATGAAAATTCCATTGCATCACAACAATTCAACGTCCTTCAAATGCGATTTAACCCTCTTCTGTATCATAGCCATCATGTATTTTCATAGGTAAAGTTTTTAAGAGGAGAAGAAAATGGAAAAGGTTTGGATAGAAACTATTTTTTTAATGCTTATATAATAACAACGAATGGTTAATGGAACTAATGATAGAGGAGTGAGAAGATGGAATATAAAAAAACTCATTTTTATTTTAATCTTGAAGTAATGAAAGAAGATGGAAAAAATCCGTTTTTACTACATTATGCTATAGTAATGATTGTTTTTTTAGAAAACTTGAGTGTTTGCTATGATTTAAATAGCGAACAAAATAAGTGTGAATAAGATCTTTGTAGATCAAATCATAACAGAAATTAATTAGTATTTTGATTTGTAATCGTCCCAATGAAAAATTTTGAATTTGTAATTAAAATTTTAGTATCAGTTAGTACCACTAAGTGCGATAGAACTTATGGTCATTTAAATATGTGATTATTGTGTTTCATAATATAGGTTTGTTCAGGATATGTTTTTTTTTTGTTTTGTGATTTCATATTTAATGTATAATGAATACGAAATTCGTTTCATAATAGTAATGTTTTGTTTTGTATATTTTGATATTCATTGATTTCCTTAACTCGTTTGGTCAAATAATTTAATAAATATATAGGCTTTGTTTGGACGTCCATTGACTTTTCATTTTCAACTCAATTTACCTCTTAAACATAAAACCCAATGCCAAACAAACAACCGTCCAAACAATTTTTTGATTTACATTTGAAAATCAAACTTGAAACATTTTGTTAGTGTAAATGACCATTTTTCGAACTAAAAATAGTTCAATGACTAAACCCAAAACTTTGCACATTTATTTCAGTTTGTCTCTAGCCAAAAATCGAGGCCCAATTCATGGTGGTTGGGAAAATTTTTTTTGGAATATGTATTGAAATATCAAGTACGACAAATATCATTCAATAATCGAAAAATGTCAATTTTAGTTCACTGTAAAAAAGAATTTTAAAAAGATCACTAAACAACAAAAAAGTGTCGATTTTGGTCACTGTAAAATATTAATTTTAGAAGCTATTCCGTGATTTTAGTGATCATTTTACAGTGACAAAAATCGACACTTTTTCGTTATTTAGTGATCATTTTTGAATTCTTTTTACAATGACTAAAATTGACACTTTTCGATTGTTTACTGATATTTTTTGTACTAGATATTTCAATACATATTCCAAATAAATTTTTCCTAACCACCATCTAAACAACTTTTTGCTAAAAATACCATCAAAACAACTTTGTCATCTCCTATTATGTTTTCCACTTAAAACACTTTCTACATTCAAGTCGAAAATGAAAACAAAATTGACGTCCAAGCAAGCACATAATTTGTGCGATTTTCCTTTTACGTAAATCGATCCATATTATGACCCATGATTTATGTGATCCAGAATTAATGTTAAAAAAATTTAATCTCCAAATATGACCCATGATTTGTGTGACTCAATCAACAATGTTAATGTATCACCTTTTAAAAAACGGGTGGGAAATGACTGTATGTAAATGTGACACGTGCACTTTTATGAAAAAAAAACATATTTTACTTTAATATAATCTATAAAATAGATATATAATTTGCAGAATTAATTATATGGTTATATTAGAACGTACGTTCCTACATAACCCATGTACCAAATATGGTGAATATGGATTCACTATATAATCACTCCCAAAGACCATATTAGAAGGAAAAAGTAAAGAAGTTACGATTGTAAAAAAAAACTGGCATTAATCAGGATTAAATCAATACAACAAAAGTTGCATAACTAAGTTAACCATATTATGCTCTAGAAAGGCTCTTGATGAAAGCACCAGGCAACCTTATTAAAATAAAGAGACCTTAAATGTGTTTAAGCTATACAACTAACAATTCAAGATTAAGATATTTTTTTCTAAAGTTTTTGTCTCATCCAATAGGACTTCTTGAACTACATTGCTTGAAGAAAAGAGAAAAAACATGAAAGTAATGGACAAAATTTTTCCAAAGACTATAAAAACAAACATGTTGTAACATGAAGAAGCAAGAGAAAGTACAACTAATTGCAAAGTCACTTGGAAAAAGAAGAACATAAACTTACATGTTGCTCGGATAACACTGAAATGTTCTAAGTACTCTGCAAAAACACACACAGAGCAAACCAAACTTATCTTTATCAGGTATCTTAGCATTACCTATAGTGACTCATTTACCATAAGAGGACAAAAAAAGAGATTTATTACAGGTTAATCCGG